ACACACACACACACACACACACACACACACACACACACACACACACACACACACACACACACACACACAACACACATACACACACACACATACACACGCAAAATTTCATTCTCATACACAGAAAATCACAACAATACACTGAGAACACGACAAAAAAATGCCATCTTTGCTCAACAGAATGACCTAAAGCAATGAATCTCACCATACTGCTTGATAAAGAAGTTTGTTGTACATTATTCACCCCAGAAGTGCGCGAACGTTCGAGTCATGGAACTTTTTGCTAGTACCTCGTACGCTATACCTGTCCTTAAGAGAGTGCGTGATATACATGCACTGAGCTAAGACGCCCTGGACATCTTAGCAGCGTAGCAGTTCTAAATGATGCTGACACACAGATACACCTGTGGCTATGAGTGCTGGTTTACTATTTCCTTAATAAGGGTAAGATCTACCAGACTGCCTTTCCTAGTAATCAATAACCAGGATGAGGTTGAACCCCAACTTGCAGATGGTGGCAGCTGAGGGTTGGAAGTACTCTTCCCCCGGGAAACAGCACCGACCCTCTGGTCATGCAGAAGCTCATTTTCATTATCTGAACACATTGTCTTGCATTTAAATTCGCAGCGAAGAATGATTTTACCGTCTCGTTCAACATGCAAAAAATAGGTTGATCTACAAATCCTTCATTCTGCCTCAGTAGCTGTCAAAAACAACATTGATCTCCCTGAGAGACATGAGGCACTACTTCTCATACCCAAGTAAATACATTAGCCCACACACAAGTGTCCTGTGCACGGCCAGTACAACTCAGTAGAGAAGGTATCAGCAGGGTCAAAGAGTCGCTCTCAGAGAGGGCATTTCCCTTTGAAGGAATTGGTGCCTGCACAAACAGCTATCGTATAATGACTGGTAAATGGTAATGACATGATTGTAAACAAGTCGCTGTATGAAGGGCCCGAACCTATGTTATTAGGCCGGCGTGGTCCGGTGGATACCTCACTGGCCTGTTGTTTTAGGACTGGCTGGCCAATGGCTCAAAACCTCCGTGCAGGGTTATTACGATAAGTTCCAGAGCCTTGTCAGTCTTAAAACACAAAATGTAACCAAATCAAAATTGAGAGTGATGATAAAGATGACGATAGGTGATGATGGATCATTGATGATGATGTTGGTGAACATAAATGGGGAAATTTCTGTTAAATAGAAGAAGGACGAAAAATCAACACACACAATAAAATAGAGTACCCGAAAGCCGAGTCTTTGACCCTGCAGTGTTGCTGGAGTGTGTGACTGAGCTACCAGTGTTGCTGGAGTGTGTGACTGAGCTACCAGTGTTGCTGGAGTGTGTGACTGAGCTACCAGTGTTGCTGGAGTGTGTGACTGAGCTACCAGTGTTGCTGGCGTGTGTGACTGAGCTACCAGTGTTGCTGGAGTGTGTGACTGAGCTACCAGTGTTGCTGGCGTGTGTGACTGAGCTACCAGTGTTGCTGGAGTGTGACTGAGCTACCAGTGTTGCTGGAGTGTGTGACTGAGCTACCAGTGTTGCTGGAGTGTGTGACTGAGCTACCAGTGTTGCTGGTGTGTGTGACTGAGCTACCAGTGTTGCTGGAGTGTGTGACTGAGCTACCAGTGTTGCTGGCGTGTGTGACTGAGCTACCAGTGTTGCTGGAGTGTGACTGAGCTACCAGTGTTGCTGGTGTGTGTGACTGAGCTACCAGTGTTGCTGGAGTGTGTGACTGAGCTACCAGTGTTGCTGGCGTGTGTGACTGAGCTACCAGTGTTGCTGTGGTGTGTGTGACTGAGCTACCAGTGTTGCTGGAGTGTGTGACTGAGCTACCAGTGTTGCTGGAGTGTGTGACTGAGCTACCAGTGTTGCTGGTGTGTGTGACTGAGCTACCAGTGTTGCTGGAGTGTGTGACTGAGCTACCAGTGTTGCTGGACTGTGTGACTGAGCTACCAGTGTTGCTGGTGTGTGTGACTGAGCGACCAGTGTTGCTGGAGTGTGTGACTGAGCTACCAGTGTTGCTGGAGTGTGTGACTGAGCTACCAGTGTTGCTGGTGTGTGTGACTGAGCTACCAGTGTTGCTGGTGTGTGTGACTGAGCTACCAGTGTTGCTGGAGTGTGTGACTGAGCTACCAGTGTTGCTGGCGTGTGTGACTGAGCTACCAGTGTTGCTGGTGTGTGTGACTGAGCTACCAGTGTTGCTGGAGTGTGTGACTGAGCTACCAGTGTTGCTGGAGTGTGTGTACTGAGCTACCAGTGTTGCTGGTGTGTGTGACTGAGCTACCAGTGTTGCTGGAGTGTGTGACTGAGCTACCAGTGTTGCTGGAGTGTGTGACTGAGCTACCAGTGTTGCTGGAGTGTGTGACTGAGCTACCAGTGTTGCTGGAGTGTGTGACTGAGCTACCAGTGTTGCTGGAGTGTGTGACTGAGCTACCAGTGTTGCTGGAGTGTGCTGACTGAGCTACCAGTGTTGCTGGAGTGTGTGACTGAGCTACCAGTGTTGCTGGTGTGTGTGACTGAGCTACCAGTGTTGCTGGAGTGTGTGACTGAGCTACCAGTGTTGCTGGAGTGTGTGACTGAGCTACCAGTGTTGCTGGAGTGTGTGACTGAGCTACCAGTGTTGCTGGAGTGTGTGACTGAGCTACCAGTGTTGCTGGAGTGTGTGACTGAGCTACCAGTGTTGCTGGAGTGTGTGACTGAGCTACCAGTGTTGCTGGTGTGTGTGGACTGAGCTACCAGTGTTGCTGGAGTGTGTGACTGAGCTACCAGTGTTGCTGGAGTGTGTGACTGAGCTACCAGTGTTGCTGGAGTGTGTGACTGAGCTACCAGTGTTGCTGGAGTGTGTGACTGAGCTACCAGTGTTGCTGGAGTGTGTGACTGAGCTACCAGTGTTGCTGGAGTGTGTAACTGAGCTACCAGTGTTGCTGGAGTGTGTGACTGAGCTACCAGTGTTGCTGGAGTGTGTGACTGAGCTACCAGTGTTGCTGGTGTGTGTGACTGAGCTACCAGTGTTGCTGGAGTGTGTGACTGAGCTACCAGTGTTGCTGGAGTGTGTGACTGAGCTACCAGTGTTGCTGGAGTGTGTGACTGAGCTACCAGTGTTGCTGGAGTGTGTGACTGAGCTACCAGTGTTGCTGGAGTGTGTGACTGAGCTACCAGTGTTGCTGGAGTGTGTGACTGAGCTACCAGTGTTGCTGGAGTGTGTAACTGAGCTACCAGTGTTGCTGGAGTGTGTGACTGAGCTACCAGTGTTGCTGGAGTGTGTGACTGAGCTACCAGTGTTGCTGGTGTGTGTGACTGAGCTACCAGTGTTGCTGGAGTGTGTGACTGAGCTCCCAGTGTTGCTGGAGTGTGTGACTGAGCTACCAGTGTTGCTGGAGTGTGTGACTGAGCTACCAGTGTTGCTGGAGTGTGTGACTGAGCTACCAGTGTTGCTGGTGTGTGTGATTGAGCTACCAGTGTTGCTGGAGTGTGTGACTGAGCTACCAGTGTTGCTGGAGTGTGTGACTGAGCTACCAGTGTTGCTGGAGTGTGTGACTGAGCTACCAGTGTTGCTGGAGTGTGTGACTGAGCTACCAGTGTTGCTGGAGCGTGTGACTGAGCTACCAGTGTTACTGGTGTGTGTGACTGAGCTACCAGTGTTGCTGGAGTGTGTGACTGAGCTACCAGTGTTGCTGGTGTGTGTGACTGAGCTACCAGTGTTGCTGGAGTGTGTGACTGAGCTACCAGTGTTGCTGGTGTGTGTGACTGAGCTACCAGTGTTGCTGGTGTGTGTGACTGAGCTACCAGTGTTGCTGGTGTGTGACTGAGCTACCAGTGTTGCTGGAGTGTGTGACTGAGCTACCAGTGTTGCTGGTGTGTGTGACTGAGCTACCAGTGTTGCTGGTGTGTGTGACTGAGCTACCAGTGTTGCTGGTGTGTGTGTGACTGAGCTACCAGTGTTGCTGGAGTGTGTAACTCAGCTACCAGTGTTGCTGGTGTGTGTGACTGAGCTACCAGTGTTGCTGGCGTGTGTGACTGAGCTACCAGTGTTGCTGGTGTGTTTGACTGAGCTACCAGTGTTGCTGGTGTGTGTGACTGAGCTACCAGTGTTGCTGGTGTGTGTGACTCAGCTACCAGTGTTGCTGGAGTGTGTAACTCAGCTACCAGTGTTGCTGGTGTGTGTGACTGAGCTACCAGTGTTGCTGGCGTATGTGACTGAGCGACCAGTGTTGCTGGAGTGTGTGACTGAGCTACCAGTTTTGCGGGTGTGTATGACTGAGCTACCAGTGGTGCTGGTGTGTGTGACTCAGCTACCAGTGTTGCTGGAGTGTGTGACTGAGCTACCAGTGTTGCTGGTGTGTATGACTGGGCTACCAGTGTTGCTGAAGTGTGTGAGTGAGCTACCAGTGTTGCTGGCGTGTGTGACTGAGCTACCAGTATTGCTGGCGTGTGTGACTCAGCTACCAGTGTTGCTGGCGTGTATGATTGAGCTACCAGTGTTGCTGACGTGTGTGACTCAGCTACCAGTGTTGCTGGCGTGTGTGACTGAGCTACCAGTGTTGCTTGTGTGTGTGGCTGAGCTACCAGCGTTGCTGCTGTGTGTGACTGAGCTACCAGTGTTGCTGGAGTGTATGACTGACCTACCAGTGTTGCTGGCGTGTGTGACTGACCTAGCAGTGTTGCTGGCGTGTGTGGCTGAGCTACCAGTGTTGCTGGCGTGTATGATTGAGCTACCATGTTGCTGGCGTGTGTGACTGAGCTACCAGTGTTGCTGGCGTGTGTGACTAACCTACCAGCCAGAAGACCCAGAAATAAAGGCTAAATAGGTATTATGGCCTTTGAGTACAGCAGAGCAAGGTAGTGAAGGCAGACTTCATACAGAGTTTAGTAACTAGGTATGATTGACCTCTTCAGGTTACAGAGCAAATGAAGGTTAAGGGGCTCAGTAAGAGCTCTGTCCCTACCGACACAAGTAGGTGACTAAATCCACTAACGTCCCCTATCCCCCACACAGCGGTGCTGACGCCACACTCATGGATACTGACGGAGATGCTGCTATCCACCTTGCAGTAAACGGCAACAATGTAAGTCACCTGATTAACTCACCTTATTAATCTGCATTATTCAACGTCTCTTGCATTTATTATCCTATCCCAGCTTACTTTAGCCTCAAATAGGAGAGAGGAGCTTACGACGACGTTTCGGTCCGACTTGGACCATTTACAAAGTCACACTAACAAAAATGAGAGAAGGAAGAAATACATATAGGCTAGCAGACAGGGATGGGACAAGAGAGGTAGCAGGAAAGGTAGTAGAGCAGTAATGGTAGAGGCAGTATTAGTAACAGTGAAAGTAATATTGGACTCAAAGACCAAGAAAGAGGAGCACTGGTACTCTTTCTTGTGCTCCCACAAAGGGTGGGAACAAAAACACGGGGAGGGGGGTAAAATAAAGGACCAAACACCCAAGGCAGAAGAAAGAAAACCCAAAAAAGGTAAAGGAAAAAGGAAAGGGGAAAAGGGAGAAGGAGAAAAAATAATCAGGAAGTCACGGGTGTTCTGAAGTTAAGAGCATTTTTACAATATAAAGGGAGAGGAAGGCATCTACAGAAACAAAACCAGGACTAAGATTCATACAAGGAAAATTGCGTATATGAAAGGATTCAACCAGACGGCCACTGTGAAAATTATAATAGGGTAGATAGTTTCAGCAGAAGACCAGTCAATAGGATGACTGTGATCTCTGACGTGGTTGAAAAGATCATTGTGTCGGCAAGCCTATCTCTTTTTGTGCTCCCCGAGTTCCTCCAAAGTACTGAAGAGGACAAGAGGAGCAGGAACTAGAGTAAATTCCTGGAGCATCTATAGAGGGAGGAAAGGTATGAACTAGATTGGTGTGAAGAGTGTTAGTCTGGCGAAAAGTAAGTTTGATGTCTAAGGGATGGAGAAAGTTATTGAGATTAGAGAGATTGGAAATTTAAGGAAGGCAGAGGACAGGAGAGTTCCCAGGAGTAGGGAGTTTGGGAGAGAAGAAAGTCCGTTTAGCACGTGAAAAGGTAGAGTTCATGGAGCGAGAAGGGTAGCCATGACGATAAAATGAATTAGGAAGAGTGGAAATTTCCGATTCAAGGAACTGAAAATCACAAATACGAAGAGCACGAGAAAGAGAGAAATAAGAACACTTTTCTTGACAGAGGAAGCATTATAAGAAAAGCAATGAATGTACATGCCACTGTGCATGGACTTGCATGCGGTAAACGGAAAAAGCAAAACCTGTATCTGAGCGGTGGACATGAACATCAAGGAAAAGAAGCAAAGAATTAGATTCCCATTCAGCTTTAAACTTAATGGAAGGGGCAAGATTATTAAAGGGCATCAAGGAATGGTTTGAAGAGACTAGGGTCATGAGGCCAAAGAGCAAAGATGTTATCTACATAGCGGAGCCAGAGTGAAGGGCGCACATCAATAGTAGGAAGAAAAATAGTTTCGAAGTATTCCATATGAAGATTAGCAAGAACAGGAGACAGAGGAGAGCCCATAGCAACACCGAAGGTCTGAGAATAATATTTACCTTCGAAGGAAAAGGAATCTGAGTCCACACAAAGGCGGATAAGATCAAGAAAGACATCAGTAGGTATAGGGGGATGAAGTAACCCTTCATTGGCCTTTTCTCTTAGAAAATTAAGGACATCATCAAGAGAGACATTAGGAAAGAGGGACTCAACGTCAAGACTAAGCATCTTACAGGTCGGGAGAGAGTGAGCACGTTCGATGAAGTCTTGAGAGTGACGAAGGTGGGCAGGAGAAAAAGTACCAGGAAACGGAATGAGGGTTCTGGCCAGCCAAGAAGAAAGAGAATAAGAGATAGAACCTCTAGAGGATATAATGAGACAAAGAGGAATATCAGGTTTATGAGTTTTGGTCCAAGTCAGACCGAAACGTCGTAGTAAGCGCCTCTTTCCTATGTGCGGGTTATTTGTGTATTGTTCCAGTCACTGTTTTGTACCTCTTTATTATTTAGCTTATTTAAGTCTGTATATTGATCCCAGTTTTTTACTCACCCAACGTATTTCTCTTTGCTCATTTTTTCCCTTATACCTGGTATTCAGACGCTTGAGTTACGTCATTACTCACCTGGCTTCCTACTAACCTTGCCTGTGCTAGCCACATTCTTCAAGTTAATTCACAGAGGTCAACTGTCAGGAGATGTAGTCCCTATACTTAAGAAAGATCAATGTTACTGACCTGCATAGTATATAAGATTATGGAGACGATAACCAGAAGACTAGTGGAGCTCCTGGAAAGTATCAGGAACACACACAATAGCCAGCACGGTTTTAGAAATTATAAATACTGTCTCGCAAACCTGCTTGAATTCTGTGAAGAGAGAGAGAGAGAGAGAGACAGAGATAGATAGATAGAGAGAGAGAGAGAGAGAGAGAGAGAGAGAGAGAGAGAGACGACTGATTAACACACAGCAAGCAAAATTTAATTATATTCCAGTGAATCAGCTGCACGGCGAGGCGAGGATAATGAGGAATAATGTTGGATGAGCAGTGGGAGGAGGGGAGGGAGAAGAACAAAGATAAAAGTTTGGGGACCTATTAATGAAAGATTAGACACTGAAATACCTGATATCGGCATACAAAGAGTACAGAAGAGAACGATTACTAAACCAAAAGAGGTAGCACGCCGGTAATTCACTGTGACACTGCAATAAGAGGTGAATCTAAGTAGAGATACTGGTAAATAAGAACAGGGAAGAAAGAGATAGAATCATTAGGCACCGCCGCAGCTCAAAACATCCAATTTACATAACTATCGCAACTCGACTGTCTCCGGGAAAAATACTAAGACGTAAAATAGCTGTAAAACTCCCAAATACTAACATATCATTCTGGACTTCTATCGAAATCGCTAGGAAAGGATGAGGGAACGACAGAGAACACATAAAGGTGAGGGAACGACAGAGAACACATAAAGGTGAGGGAACGACAGAGAACATAGAAAGGATGAGGGAACGACAGAGAACACAGAAAGGATGAATGAACGACTCAGCAGTAAATTCCTAAAGAATATTTCCCCAAATCATCTGCAACTCCTTCAGAAGACGCGCGGCAGAAACCAAAGAGATTTTACCCATACCAGCACTTCATCCCAGCCAATCCTTCTTCCCCAAAACCAGCGAAGAAAAACTCTTGACCTCTTCTCCCTTCCTCTGTTAATTCCTCATTTCTCTCTTCTTCCTACCCTCCCCCGTTTGCCTACCAACCCTCCCATCTACCTTCCCACATTCCCACCTGCCCTCCCATCCATATTTCTCTTCCTACTGGATCCTCCTCTACCTAATTTTCCCGTTCCTTCCCCAAACTGCCGTCAACTTATGAAAACTCTCCCCAACCCACGCCTTATATACCCAACAATAGAGCATATCACAGCAACAAGAGATACAACCCACCCTCAGTTCACCCTCCGGTGGAGCAGAAATTCCCTCACCAATAACAGAACAAGTGGTAAAAATACTGGATGCAAAAAAGTTTAACACGGGGATGGAAAGAAAGATCAGAGTCGGGCATACTAATGCAGTGAAAAAAAAAAAAACAGAAATATAAGAAAGTGAGGCAGAGTAAGTGCCAAACATCATAGCCGTCACAGAGTCAAAACTAACGGAGACACTATCCAATGAATTATCACTTGAAGGATATCAAATATTGAGGAAGGGACGATAAAAAAAGAAAAAGCCAGAAGAGTAGCACTACTAGTAACAAACAAAAAGTTTAAATTAAATTAAAGGAGTAGATAACAGACAAGACAATGACTGGGAAGCTAAGATGTAGTTTTCTTGATATAAATCTCTCACGTAACAGAAGATAAACACAGGAGTACAAAGAGAGTACGGGGGCTGTAGTAGCTACGATAGAGGACGTAATACAGAGTTTATCCACAGAAAGACAAAGTCAAATAAATGCGGTAGAAGTTAATTTACGGAGGACCAAACTGACTGAGGTAGTGCTAGGGAATAAATGTGCGAGTATATCATGGACACATCAGGAAAGAGAGAGAGAGAGAGAGAGAGAGAGAGAGAGAGAGAGAGAGAGTAGGAGGTAAGCCAGCAAGACTAGACCTGGGATTCACAGCTAGGGCAAAAAAAGATGAGTCCATACTATGAATGAGTGATAATACAAGTCTATGCTTTGACTGCTTAGTATAAATAAACCTGGAGAGGCAGGAAGGAGAGAAGACTACAGAAGATGGAACCATTTTTGGATGAGAGAGTCTGTGAAGGTGGTTTTCAGAACAAAGTGGTAAAGATCTTAAATTAAATCAAAACGTTCAGAGATACAATTTATAAGAGGCCTGTAGGCTAAACTTAGTAAATTTCTCAGTATGAAGAAGAGACGGAGTTAGAAACATGGGAGGAGAAACGCTCTTATTAATGATGAAAAAGTTGGTAAAAAAAATATTTTTCCTCCATTCATCTATTTTTCCTTTTTTTCATCCCTTTCGCTCCCCCCCCCCCTCCATCCGGCCCCCTGCTTCTGGTATGGGTGGGGGGAAGTCAGGTAGGGTCACTGGAGCGCCTGGTAGCCCATCAGGAAAAGGAGGACCTGTATCAGGACACTGTAACTTCATCGAAGGTGGACCTCTACCAAGGTGACTATCAGGGTTGTACTCCACTACACCTCGCTGCCAAGTATGACTACGTGGCATGCGCTAAGTGCCTGGTAAGTGACTCTAGTGACTGTCAAGTCACTCAGGTGTCTGATGAGTCAAGGACTCCTTAATTATACACATTTCTGTTGTGTTGAGTAACTTTCAAGATAGCTAAGTACCTGTCTAGCAGACCACGTAACAGTTGAGTGAAATATATATTAAGTTTGAGGTCAGAGTAACACTCAGTAAAGCAGCAGAGAATCTTATATTCCTATAAAGTGATATTAACTAGTCATGTTCTCCCTTAATATATTCTTTCAATAACGCAGAGATTCTGCTCCAACTTCTGACTCATTTTATTCGTTCTTCTCTCCCTTCCTCCTTCCTTTGCTATTTCCCCCATCCCACTCCCATCCTTCCTGATCCTTAAATACAAACCTGTCATTTTCCTGAGGGATTTACGTCGCTGTAGTTCCTAGGCGTTCTGATAATCATGTGTCCCTAAGATAGTTCTGGTGAATAGTTCATAAGACTTTTTCACTTTATATGCGCATAATAATAATAATAATAATAATAATAATAATAATAATAATAATAATAATAATAATAATAATAATAATAATAATAATAATGATAGTAATAATAATAATAATAATAATAATAATAATAATAATAATAATAATAATAATAATAATAATAATAATAATAATAATAATAATCCAGGCTAGAGCTATATACTGTAAATATTGTTAAGAAATAACTGTACTCTAAAAACACTCATTCTCTAAAGAAATTTAATTAAATCATTATTAGCAAGTTTAATTTACTAGTTTTCTTTTCTTATTATTGTTAACTAAGACATTTGTGAACTCCTTTGGGAATTTCCTCGACCCTAGGTATTGTGCCTTATAGGTTATTTAGCCCTGACTTTCGTCCATCCTCAGCCCTCACTCTTCCCCTACAACTGCAGGTAACTAAGCGAGTACCATTAGAAAACGTTAATGGGTCGTGCTTATCAGATGGATGATCGACCTTCACCTCATATTGCAATGAATGACACGCATGTATTAAGTGTTTTTTTTTTCCTAAATCTAATCTACCGTGCCCCTGCAGCTGTACAACCCGGGGTTCACTCGGTGCCCCAACCAAGCGTGCAATAACGGCTACCACCCCATCCACATTGCTGCCCGCAACGCCTCCATTGGCGTTCTGGAAGTTCTCCTCAGCTACTCTGAGAGTCGTGGCTGCATCAGGCAGAGAATGATAACTATCCCAGACCTGGAGGGTAATGTACCCCTTCACCTAGCCGTCCACGGAGGAGAGATAAAGGTGAGATAGGAAGAAGGGGAGGGAGGGGAAGTTGTGCAGAAGGAAAGGGAAGACGAACGTGTGAGTAGGGGAGAGAAGTTATGTAGGAGGGTACGGAAGATGAAGTTGAGAGAGAAAGGGGGTATTGGGAGGGGTAGGGATAGTTATGAAAATCAAAGAGTACGGAAAATCCAGGTGGGAAAGTAGTAAGACAGAAGAAGTGAAGGAGAGAAGTAATGTAGAGGAGGGAGGAGAGAGTACTAGATAAAAGGTGGGAGAGGCGTCATGGGAAGACTGGTTTGATCAGTCCTACACGCTCTCAAACTGAACATTTTCAGGGCAAAATTGCAATGGATTTTTTAATAATCTTTTAAACATGCGGCGAATTCAAATGTTTCATGAGTGTTGCCAAGGTCTTAATTAAGAAACACTTGACCGGTGGTACCCACCGGTTGACATTATTCGTTCATAAATAAATAGTGATGCTTCTGGTTATTTGCAGTAAAGTTACGTAAGTTTAAGTTAGCTAACGTTGAACTAACCTAGCATAACATTACCTAATTTAACAATGCAAATAAATCTAAATTAATTTAAATTATAGTGAGGAGGGATAGATCTCGGGGGGTAGACAGGCGGGACAGTGTATATTAATCGTGCAGAAACATACTTACGAAATTGCGTCAGGAATCAAATGTTATTTTTAGGAAGAGTTTTCATATTTAACTTTTTATCTTTCGTAAATCCATGGTATGGTAATTATTGCGCTACTTTCACCTTGCTTAACCTGCGTGGCCCTGTGGGACCCTCCGTGGCCTTACTTGGCCCTGTCTGACCCTACGTGGAGGTGCAGGCGGTGGAGATGTGCCTGAAGAGTGGGGCGTTGATCTCGATGCAGCAGGACGACCGTTCTACCCCTGTACATCTAGCGTGCTCCCAGGGCTCTTTCGACATAGTCAAGCTTATGTTTACACTGCAGCCGCAGGAGGTGAGGCAAGCCTCGTGATTTTATATTTCAGAATATTGGTGTATTTGGTCACTTTGAAAGGTGTGAATTAGATTTGAACTGTTCATGCCTTACTTTTAGTTTTATGGTTGAAGAAATTTCGATATTAGTGCCCATATGATACCGAAACTCCTTTTTTTATCTTCTGTTCTGTTCTCTCGGTATTATGGACTCACGTGCCCTGCCCTTCTCTCAGTACTAAGTACTCAGGTAACCTGCCTCTTTCATCGTGGAGTACTCAAGTGTCCAGCTTCTCTCAGTATATTATACTAAGAAGTTCAACCTTTCTCATAACTAAGTACTTAGGCACTTAGAAGTCCGGTATCATATCTCAGCAGTAAAATAACAAAATGACCCCCTTATAATATATTTTCCCAGAAGATAATACGTGTTCCTGAGAAGTAGTATGCATTTCCAACAGATAACATGTCTTGTCAATAGGCAACATGTTTCCAACAGATAACAGTGACAATAAACAATATACATGCACAAAGGCCAACATATTTGTTGCATCAGCTCGACCCTTGTCAAACTATCTTGCCAGAGGCACGATCCACTACCAGCTACCACCCGTCGTCTTCTATCAGTAGCAAGAAGATGGAATAAGATAGGGTTTATTCATACAAATAACAAATGATTTTACTGACAGAAATAAAATTTGCACAGTACTTATGAAGGTATATTATTTTTTATGTAAACAGTGATATATTGTGCCATGTGATTAAGACCCATTATATATCCTGATGAACAAAAAGAACAAGAACAAAAACAACATAAAAATAACAACAACAACAATACACCAATAAACCAACCACGCAGACTCCTGCAAGAAACCCTTTTCTTTTGCCTTAAGTATGCTATGGAGAGGGACCCTGGACAGGGGGGGGGTCATCCCACAGTTGTTAAAACAACGAATATATCCCACTTCACGAAGGTGGCAGCAAATTAAGACCAAAGAATTATAGACCGAAAGCCCTAACGTTCTACATCATAAAAAGCTTTGAAACAGCTCTAAGAAGCAAGATCGCCAACCACTTGGATTTCCAAGTGGTTGGATTTCCAAGGGCAGCAAGGATTTTAGAGCAGGTCGCTCCTGCCCCTCACGACTACCTGACCACTATGAGATATCTTGTATAATACAGTGGAGAACAAACAGTGTTAGATGTAGTATACACAGATTTGTAAAAGCCTTCTACAAGTGTGATCATGGTGTAATAGCGCAAAAAATTCATGCTGACGTACGAGTAGACAGAGAAGTAAACCATAGTACAGTGTCTTCCTTTGCTGACGATATTAGAATCTTTATGAGAGTGTCTTCCATGGGATACGGTAGATCTCCAAGCGTATATAAACCATGTTTTCCAAAGGGCCGTGGAAAACAATACAATGTTTAGTGTGGACAAATTTCAGTTGCTCTATTATGGAAAACTTGAGGATATAATAGTTTGAACGGGGTAGACTACAAACTCTGACGACATAATAGAGCGGAAAACTAATTTGAAAGACTTGGAAAAGTAAATATCAGGAGATCCCACCTTCAAGGATCACAACAATGTCATTATCACATCTGCGAGGAAAATGATAGGATGGATAATGAAAGCTTTTAAAACAAGAGATGCAATGCCAATGATGATCCTTTTTAAGTAACTTGTTCTCTGACAAGATGAAATTAAGACACATGTGCAACATCAGGGTATCTTTATTGTAGACGTTTCGCCATCCAGTGGCTTTATCTATACAAATTCCAGGACATAACTTGAAGATAGTAGAACTATGTACAGAAGATGAGGTAATCAGTCCCTCAACATTGGAGTAGATGCGAAGAGCACCGTAGTCGTGGAGATTCTGAATCTCCACGACTACGTGGAGATATCGGTATTGTATACCTTTCTTGTACAACTTGTTCTCTCTAGGCTGGAATACTGCTGCACACTAACAACCCCATTCAAGGCAGGTGAAATTGCTGATCTAGAGAATATACAGGGAAGTTTCACTGCACGTATTAGTTAAATCAAGCACCTTAATTACTAGGAATGTTTGAAGTTCCTTGACCTGTACTCCCCGGAATACAGGTGAGAAAGATGCATCACAATGTACACCTGCAAAATACTAGAGGAACTGATCCCAAATCTTCATATAGAAAGTACTCTCTAAAAACGCAGCAAAGACTCTGCAGACGGTGCAACATACCCACAATGAAAAGCTGGGGTACTATGAGTACACTAAGAGAACACACAATAAGTGTCTGGAACCTAAGATTATTCAACAGCCTCCCATCATACATAAGGGGAATTACCAGTAGACTCCTGGCTGGCAGTGCCCGATCAGCCTGGCTGTGGTTCTGACGGTTGGATTACGTGCGACCAGTAGCAACAGCCTGGTTGGTCAGGCCCTGATCCACTGGGAGGCCCCGTCGAGGACCTGGCTGCGGGTCCAGGCAGACAGACCATCATTAGATTTAACAAGATTATACAGTGCATATATGTAAGTTTAATTCCAGATTTAAGGACAAAAGTAACCTTAACTGGTTCGAAACGTTTCATATACAGCCTTAATGACCATCTGATAGTCGACAGGATTCAAACCCAACTAATGAATCAAAATATAAGCCATAATAACTCATTAATTGAACACTGATAATTTCCACAGTGGTAGTGTGTACACACGCTGTTATTAGTAAGGTTTTCAATATGTTTCATGACATTCTGCTTCTGTAGGAGAGAGAAACTTTGATTATTTAAAATATCTGAAAGTTACATCACTGGTAACAGACTTCAAATATGTTTTAAACGATATTTTGTTTGCTCTAATAAATACTTGTTTTTTTTCTTTCTATTCATAATTTTACTTAGATTCCAGTATGTGATTAAGAACCTGTCATAGACCTAGTACTGGTATATTCAAACAATCCTGCAGGGATAAAAATAAATAAAGGACCCCAATGGAAATAAGTCACTCTGTCTGACTTTTTTGGGTTATCCTAGGTTCTCTACACATACTGCTATGTATGATAATTCTATGTAACTGTATTTGTGTATACCTGAATAAACTTACTTACTTACTAACATCTTAATGAGATTCATTTAAATGCCAGAATGATCACACAACTGTCAAAGAAAACTGTGTATCAGTAACTATGGGTGACTTGTGTAAATAGCTACAGCTGTGGCAAACTTCTTGCGATTTTATTTTTTTTCAGTTTTATTTTCTTTTTGTGCTCTGCCTGTGTTCCTGCCCTGGCCTGCTGCCTGTGTTCCTGCCCTGGCCTGCTGCCTGTGTTCCTGCCCTGGCCTGCTGCCTGTGTTCCTGCCCTGCGATACTGCAGAAGATGAAGGCTCTAACAACCCTGGACGCCCAAGGGATGAGTCCGCTTCACTGCGCCGCTATGTTTGACCACCCCCAGCTTGTGAGCTACCTGATCAAGGAGGTAACAATCAGTCCCCTCTCTCTCTCTCTCTCTCTCTTTCCATCTTGTTTCATTGCTCATTTTTCCCTTCCTCCATCATTCTTTTCTCTTTTTTCTTCCACTTCTTTGGTCTCCTATATGTATCACCAGCCTCATTAGTTGTCTCTCTCTACCTTCCTGCCAGGGTACCTTCATTTAAGTTATTACTCCTTTCCTGCCAGAGTATTTTGTTCTGTTATCCTTACCTGCCAGGGTGCCGTAATCTTTTTATCCCTGCCAACCTGGGCGTTTTAATCACTGTTACTCCTGCCTTTCAGGGAGCTGACGTCGACCAAGTGGATCAAGAGCACAGGTCCCCACTGCTGCTGGCGGCTGCGCACGGTGGCTGGCGCTGTGTTGATGTGCTCCTTGCGCACAGCGCCGACCCAGCCATCAGAGACTTCACCGACAAGAACCTTCTTCATGTTGTCATTATGAACGGCGGCTCTGTTAGCAACCTTTTCAAACTCAAGCACGCTCATGACCCCTGGGTGAGTACCCCCTCATGACCCCTGGGTGAGTACCCCCTCATGACCCCTGAGTGAGTACCCCCTCCATAACTCAGTGGGATGGCTCTTACTCACACATGGAGTGACCCTTTCATACACGGGCAACGTCCCTTCTAGTTCAATGACGCCCCTTCTAGTCATAACCGGGGACGCCCCTCCTAGCTCATATAAGTGACGTCCCTCCTAGCCCGTATAGGTGACGTCCCTCCTAACTCGAATAGGTGACGTCCCTCCTAGCCCACACTAGTGGTCTTACTGATCTCACTCGTTTTACTGATACTTCTAAGGTGGTACTGAACGATCTGTAATCATTAGACAGTTTGACGCCAATTTGCAAAAGGATACAAAATATTCAACCTCTTAAATTAGATTGCGCCATCAGCTTTGCGTATAATAACCTTTGAAGTCTATAGACAATGGACAGAAATTATACACGGCCACTTCTTGTATCATTAGCCGTCTCGTAGAGCTTAATTAATCCCACGTGTAATTTTGGGATATATTATTCTATTCAAAATATTTCCCACAGGGAACGTCCTCCTTAATCCACACAGGGATCGTCTATTTTTTCCTTATTTTTCACTTACCAAAGAGAAGTGTCTTAAATCTCATACTGTTATACACAAGAGGTGTACCAAACTTCACATAATTACATACACAGCCCTGTAACAAGACCCCTCGAGCACTTGATGACTTTATCTAATACTGAGAGACATCTGAAATCCTGTTTTTCAGCGGCATTTACAAGAATATAATGGAAAAGATTACTACCTATACATGTACTCATTAAAACCAAGTTCAATCACCTGTGTGGGTTAGCGCGTCCTTGGGAGCCCTTCGTCGCAGCTCAGTGTGAAGGAGGTTGTGAGCCGCTCAGCGAGTGCAGAGATACATAAAATAGTTTGTTTATTATACCAGGAACATTATCAGGTTATAATAAACATGATAAAGTTCCATTTGAACGAAACATGATTTCGCGTGTCTTTCATTCTTCTCGTTTCCAATAAACTTTAAGTGAAAGTAACAGCCACGATAGTTACCTTTTCCACACTCACCATAGTTAATTATTACGTATATTGTATGTTATTTAAAAGATGTGTTAAACCCGTATTAGTTATTCAACTAATAAAGACAGAGACGGCTTGTTACCATCACTCTCCATAACCTTCCCGGGTCTCTGCTGACACAAAAAATACTAATACCAGCCTTCTTCTTTTTACTTTTAATTCTTAAGCTAATATCTTTACACACTATTTAAGTTAGGTTAAGATCAAACACTAAATTTAGCCATTTATAATATAAACACCAACAAATGCAATAATGCATTACGATGAGACTATGAGAAGACTAGCCAAGCTTGACTGTGGAGAAGACTGACCAAGCTTGACAGAGGAGAAAACTGACCAAGCTTGACTGGAGAGCTCAGGCTACTGTAATCCCAGGGTTGCTCAAACTTACTACACACTTGTCTCTCATTATAACATGTATGATATATGTGAACGTCGATCACGACCAACAAACACTCTTAAACAAGAATAAGACACTTGTGCAGAATTTAGGAATCTTTATCGAGGAAACATTTCACCAGCCAGTGACTTCTTCAGTTCAATAAAGAAAAGAACGGTCGATGGAATATGAGTAGCTAGAGGTAATTAGTCCCTCGGCCTGGAGTCGATGTGTTCAGTCCATCAGTCTTAAGAAAAGTACTTTTCTCGAGACTGATGGGACGAGGTCACGCTACCTCGCTGCCAAACGACCCATGTGTTAAAAACAAAAGAAAATATTACCATGTGCAATATTTTTCATCTGTATATATCTTATGTGTCCATCAGGTTCAGAATTATCATGTTAAATACTTCTCTTCTGTATATATTGTGCGTTAATACAGTAGTATTAATTCCTAGTTCAAGTCTGCCCGAAATGCTTGGTAGATGAATGGTTCAGAGAACCGACATGTTGATAAATTAGACACATGTGCAACTCTTGGGTATCTTTATTGAGGAAACGTTTCGCCACACAGTGGCTTCATCAGTCCATACAAAGGAGAATCTTGAAGAATAGGAGGAGAATGAGGTAATCAGTCCCTCAACCTTGAGTCGATGTGGTCAGTCCATCAATCTTGAATAGAATACGGCATACGTGCTGAGAAGGAGCTTATAAACCGTTGGCAGGAGAGGTGAAGCAGTCAGAGGCAGTGTAACACTTATTCAATGTTGAAGTAGGTCGTGCCCAAGAATTAGGCAAGCGAAGAATTCCCAAGTATTAAGATCCCAAGAAGATGCAGTGTCTGACGGGTTTGTAGATGAATGGTTCAGAGAACCGACATGTTGATAAATTAGACACATGTGCAACTCTTGGGTATCTTTATTGAGGAAACGTTTCGCCACACAGTGGCGAAACGTTTCCTCAATAAAGATACCCAAGAGTTGCACATGTGTCTAATTTATCGAAATGCTTGGCACTAAAATTCGTTTTTCAAACATAAAATGTTGGTAACACAGTTGAACATTCAGGGGCAGGTCCAGAGATGAGGGCCACTAGAGGGTCACTAGAGGGCCACTAGAGAGTCAATAGAGGGCCACTAGAGGGTCACTAGAGGGTCACTAGAGGGCCAACTAGAGTCACTAGAGGGCCATTAGAGGGTCACTAGAGGGACACTAGGTCACTAGAGGGCCACTAGGTCACTAGAGGGCCACTAGAGGGCCATTGAAGGGTCACTAGAGGACCACTAGTCACTAGAGGGTCACTAGAGGGTCATTAGAGGGTCACTAGAGGGCCATTAGAGGGTCACTAGAGGGCCACTAGAGGGCCATTAGAGTAACTAGAGGGCCACTAGAAGGCCATTAGAGGGTCACTAGAGGGCCACTAGAAGGTTACTAGAGGGCCACGAGAGGGTCACTAGAGGGTCATTAGTCACTAGAGGGCCACTAGAGGGTCACTAGAGGGCCACTAGAGGGCCACTAGAGGGTCACTAGAGGGTCAATAGTCACTAGAGGGCCATTAGAGGGTCACTAGAGGGCCACTAGGTCACTACAGGTCCACTAGGTCACTAGAGGGCCACTAGAGGGCCATTGAAGGGTCACTAGAGGACCACTAGTCACTAGAGGGTCACTAGAGGGTCATTAGAGGGTCACTAGAGGGCCATTAGAGGGTCACTAGAGGGCCACTAGAGGGTCACTAGAGGGCCATTAGAGGGTCACTAGAGGGCCATTAGAGGGTCACTAGAGGGCCACTAGGTCACTAGAGGGCCATTAGAGGGTCACTAGTGGGCCACTAGAGGGCCATTAGAGGGTCACTAAAGGGCCATTAGAGGGTCACTAGAGGGCCATTAGAGGGTCAGTAGAGGGTCACTAGAGGCCCACTAGAGGGCCACTAGTGGGCCACTAGAGGGCCACTAGAGATCCATGCTCCCCTTTCCTCGGCCACCATGAAATGAATGACCACTATGAATGGCCACTCCTGGACCACTATGAATGGCCCCTCCTGGACCACTATGAATGGCCCCTCCTGGACCACTATGAATGACCCCTCCTGGACCACTATAAATGGCCCCTCCTGGACCACTATGAATGGCCCCTCCTGGACAACTATGAATGGTCCCTCCTGGACCACTATGAATGGCCCCTCCTAGACCACTATGAATGGGCCCTCCTGGACCACTATGAATGGCCATTACAGGGTCACTAGAGGGTCATTAGAGGGTCACTAGAGGGCCACTAGAAGATTACTAGAGGGCCACTAGAGGGCCACTAGAGGGCCATTAGAGGGTCACTAGAGGGCCACTAGAGGGTCACTAGAGGGCCACTAGGTCACTAGAGGGCCACTAGGTCACTAGAGGGTCACTAGAGGGTCATTGGAGGGTCACTAGAGGACCACTAGAGGGTCACTAGAGGGTCACTAGAGGGCCATTAGAGGGTCACTAGAGGGCCACTAGAGGGCCACTAGAGGGCCATTAGAGTAACTAGAGGGCCGCTAGAAGGCCATTAGAGGGTCACTAGAGGGCCACTAGGTTACTAGAGGGCCATTAGAGGGTCACTAGAGGGCCACTAGAGGGTCACTAGAGGGTCATTAGAGGGTCACTAGAGGGCCACTAGAAGGTCACTAGAGAGCCATTAGAGGGTCACTAAAGGGCCATTAGAGGGTCACTAGAGGGCCACTAGGTCACTAGAGGGCCATTAGAGGGTCACTAGAGGGCCATTAGAGGGTCACTAGAGGGCCACTAGGTCACTAGAGGGCCATTAGAGGGTCACTAGTGGGCCACTAGAGGGCCATTAGAGGGTCACTAAAGGGCCATTAGAGGTTCACTAGAGGGCCATTAGAGGGTCACTAGAGGGTCACTAGAGGGCCACTAGAGGGCCGCTAGTGGGCCACTAGAGGGCCACTAGAGATCCATGCTCCCCTTTCCTCGGCCACCATGAAATGAATGACCACTATGAATGGTCCCTCCTGGACCACTATGAATGGCCCCTCCTGGACCACTATGAATGCCCCCACCTGGACCACTATGAATGGCCCCTCCTGGACCACTATGAATGGCCCCTCCTGGACCACTATGAATGGCCCCTCCTGGACCACTATGAATGGCCCCTCCTGGACCACTATGAAAGGCCCCTCCTGGACCACTATGAATGGCCCCTCCTGGACCACTATGAATGGCCCCTCCTGGACCACTATGAATGGCCCCACCTGGACCACTATGAATGGCCCCTCCTGGACCAATATGAATGGCCCCTCCTGGACCACTATGAATGGCCCCTCCTGGACCACTATGAATGGCCCCTCCTGGACCACTATGAATGGCCCCTCCTGGACCACTATGAATGGCCCTCCTGGACCACTATGAATGGCCCCTCCTGGACCACTATGAATGGCCCTCCTGGACCACTATGAATGGCCCCACCTGGACCACTATGAATGGCCCCTCCTGGACCAATATGAATGGCCCCTCCTGGACCACTATGAATGGCCCCTCCTGGACCACT